ATTCGTCTTCCGTTCGGTCATAAGGTCCGCTGATCGCGGGGTTAACTGTCCTCCATCCACTATGCTTGGGGCTATGTGCAATAGCGAGCTGAGTCATTACGGTCTGTTCGTTGGCCGTAACACCTAAATTGTGAACTTGTTTAAATCTATTGCCTACTAACCTACTACCCTGTACCCCCTCCTTCGCTTTAGGTACCCTGTAGTCAGGTACTTATACTGAATACCCTCCCCCCCCTCTAACCCCGCCCTCTAGTTGTCCTCCTCCTTCTTAAGCTTAACATAAACTCTAAGTTTTAGCAAGCACCTTATTCTAAGAGAGTTATCCGCCCTGTTACAAAGCTAGCGCTCTACGCAACTTCTGTAGAAGCTTAGATTACTTTCTTTTACTCTTATTTACTTTTATTTTCTCTTCTTTACTATATTTAATTATAGTTTTAGAAACTTTAGTTAATAAGTTTAATTGCTACTACAAACATATTACTAAAATACTCGCCCCATACCTGATACCTATGCCGCTTCCCTAACCACGCTGCATACTCTCTCCAGTCTCCGCCTAGCTTTCCGCAGTATCCGCACTGTCGGATAATCCTAACTGCCCAGCCATCCCCAACAGCAGCTGCTCGTACCAGCGGTACTACTACATTCGGCCATTGACACTTTGCTGTAACGTCCCTGCCTGTAGCGCAATATCTCTAACTAACAGAGCAGCGTTGAGAACTGTTCTTAATGCTGTTGTTGCGTATACCCTTTTAAAAATAGTCTATGTCAACCCCATGCACGCCTGCCTGTGCTGTACACTTCATTGTCTTGTGCGTCTGCCACTTGTCCCGCCCCAAGTTGTCTAGCACCCAGCATATAGCGCATCCTGCCCGCACCTTGTCTATTATCTCTTAAACCTGTTGCCACTCAGTGCTTGTCTCCTGCTGTGAACGCTTAAACTCGCGGACTCCCTCTCCACACTGGTCACATCTAGCAGACTTAATGTCGTTGCACGCTACAGCCTTGCTGTCTATGTACATGCTCATCAGCGCTCGTCGGCACCCGCGGCCTGTTAAAAACAACCCCATGGCCTGCACGCATAAGTCGTCGCTGTG